TGGGTTCGATTCCAGTCAAGGAATACCGGGGTTGCGGGCTCCATCCCCAGTAGGGGGCGTGCAGGAGGCAGACAATAATTCTCATCATTGATGTTTCTATCTCTCCTTTTCCCCTTCCTCTTGAAATAAAAAATATATTTTAAAAAATAATAAACTCAGGACTTTTCATTTCCCACCCATAATGACAAGAAAAGAAAGTTGACTGAGGACATTTCACACTTATTACACAAATTAGAAAAAGAATGCAGAGGCACATTGCTGGACTCTAGTCTCTAAAGATAAGAAATTGGTCACGTAAGCAAAATCTTTCCTAGATGAATTTTCTCAAGAATTGGCGAATGAACAATATATTTCTAAAAATAGAAAGGAACTATGGTATTTTAAGTCATAAGGCATTATTTAGTGAAGTCGTTCAACAGGATTTCATCACGCAGAATTTTTATGACAAAAACCTGTACCATCCTGTTTTGCTAAAGGGTGGTGTAGCAATATTCTTTCATCTTTTATGATGCTTATGCACCCAAATTTACTTCATACTGTTTGTTACAGTTCATAAGTGGGAATACACTGAAGACAGTTGTGTAGGTGATTGAAAGGAAACAGATGCTATAAAAAATTTTTTAAAATAAAATTTATTGGTGCCCAGCTGGTGTTGCTCAGTGGTTAAGCATCGACCTATGAGCCAGGAGGTCAAGATTCAATTCCTGGTCAGGGCATATGCCTGGGTTATGGACTCCATCCCTAGTGTGGGGCATGCAGGAGGCAGCCGATCAATGATTCTCTCTCATCATTGATGTATCTATCTTTCCCTCTCTTTCCGTCTCTGATATCAATAAAAAACGTTAAAAAATAAAAATTCATTGACTTGGTTATTCTAATTGATCTTTATAAATCTAAAAATAAAAATGCTTTTCCCTGGCTGGTTTGGCTCAGTGGATAGAATGTCGGCCTGCAGACTGAAAGGTACTAGTTTCGATTCTGGTCAAGGGCACATGCCTGGGTTGCAGGCTCGATCCCCAGTGGGTGAGCGTGCAGGAGGCAGTCGATCAATGATTCTCTAATCATTGATATTTCTATCTCTCTCCCTTCTTCTCTGAAATCAATAAAAAATATATCTTTATAAATAAGTTTTAAAAAGTGTTTTAAAAGCAAGGAACATGGCTGGCTGTCCTTAAACTATGAGCCATCAAACATATTGCATGTTGACAAGGCAAGTGCAAAAAACCAGAAGAAAACAAAAGCAGTATGCTAGAGCCTATTATAGATGTATCTGAAATCTGGAATCAGTTATATGAGTATGTTCTAGTCACACATAGCAGCTGATGAGCAGTTCATTGCATTCAAGGAATGTTGCTCATTTTGGGTATATGTACCTTCAAAACAAGGAAAATTTGGAATTGTTTGCTGTTTTAATTCATATATATTTATGCATATACACATGACTTTATTGATATAATTCATCCATTTGAAAAGTATAATTCAATGGTTTTCAGTATGTTCAGAGTTGTACTAATACCTGTGACAGTTATGGGGCAGTTGATGGTCCACCAGTGAGGGCAGGATGAATAGGTCACAGCAGTCCTCCTCTCAGGGGAGAAAGGCCCAGCTGCACCTGGCTAGGTGAAATGGTACAATACAGGACTGAGCAGCAGAGGCTCAATGGTTTCATTTCAACTTCAGAGCTCCTGGAGGGCTCCATCTTATTTATGAATGTGAGGGTATGGGATCAGATAAGTTCTTCTTCCCAACCATCGTCTTATTATTCTCCAATCAGTAGTGGGGATCTTGAGATACCCTAAATATTTTTCCAAGCCTAAGAGAAATCACACATTCCCCTAAGATGTATTGCACAAATTAAAATCGCTGTAAAGTGAGGTAATGGAATCTGCCCATTACAGGGATGTTGGGAAGTTTAAATGACATATTCACAGCAGGCTCAGGGCACATAATTATCTTCTCACCATGGTCATGCTGCTTATCAAGCTATAAATGTAACTTTAGCAACAAATATGGAAGTGGTTTTAGATTAAATAACATCAAAAATCTGATGACCCTAAGTAACTTTAGCAACAAATATGGAAGTGGTTTGTTTTAGATTAAATAACATCAAAAATCTGATGACCCTAAGGTAATAGTAAGAAAAACAATCTTTGAATCCAGAGTCTGGCTTGAAGGCCTGGGCTCTTAC